GTTGTTGATTGGGAGCATATATTCCCAGTAGCAATGTCCTTTTCCCTTCTAATACCAAGTCTATTGCAACCAAGTCTTCCGTGGGGATCTGCTTCAATTAATTCAGCTTTCATATCCTTCCTTAAGTATATAACTATACCATTTTTCTTCTCTGTAGCAGAAGCTATAAAATGTTGTCCAAATCTTGTATTAATCAGATATTTTTGATCAGTTGATCTAATGTGAGTTTCTTGCAAACAATTTATATCATTCTGGTATCTTTGCCCCTCAAAAATGAGTGCTAGCCCAACTGGTGCATCCCATCTGAACTTTAGCTGACGATTTTTAAGCTCTTCGACTAAAAAGCCCCTTGCTATGTTGGCCTTGTTCAGCACGAACATACCAGGCATATTATTGTGTAAGTAGGTATGATTTCAAACATGAACATTTCAGTGTTCAGAAATTCAGAAGGCATAAATAATTACATGTACTGAGAATAATGTGCAACATAATACTACAAATATTTCAGCTATGTATATTTAGGCAAGATTTCCTAATTACAGACATTGTTATTATCTTCAGTTTTCTTTGGCGATATAATTTACTTTCCTTCCTCTTTCCAGCTTGAAGCGAGAAATGCGCAAACTAGCTCAAGAAGAGTGTGGTTTTGAGGAGCCTACTGTGGCTATGGCCTTTGTCTATTTTGAAAAGCTTGCTCTCAAGGGAAAACTCAACAAGCAAAACAGAAAGCTCTGTGCTGGAGCATGTGTCTTACTAGCTGCCAAAATTGGCAGTGACATCAAAAAGCATGAAGTCAGGCATCTTATAGATGTAAGTATCTCTGGCCATTAATGTTTGCCATAAAAAGGTATTGGGAAGGGTTGTGTCTTCCTCTGTGGTCATTACATCAAGTATTACATTTGTTTGAAAAATAATTAAAATGATTAGAAAATTCTATTTTAATAATACTAATAATGTATTAATTTTTTATGCTGTTCAACTCCCAGTAACTCTGGGTGGTTTACAAAATGTTAAAAATACTTAAACATAGAGAGATGTGCAAAACCAAAACTAACACTAACGGAAGAGCAGGGATAACAGAGCATACAACAAGGAAAAGAAAGGGTAATCAGACGTCCTCACTAAGAGCCTAGGCAAACAACCACGTCCTCAGGATTCTTTAAAATACCAGTTTTGTGGGGGTGGGGCTGTTCAAATCTTGGGACAAAGTTAATTCCAGAAAGTAGCCACTGCTATGGAGAATATGCACTTCTAGGGTTCTGAAGGTGCGGCAATCCTGACTGATCACAAACCGGTTGGGCAGCTACTATTTGAATGTATAAATAAAATTAGGGGAAGTTATTTTAAGTTCTTTCCTACAATTAGTATCCTAAAATACTAAGCTATAACTGTTGGCTATGTTACAGAAACTGGAAGAAAAGTTCCGCTTGAATAGACGAGAGTTGATTGCCTTTGAGTTCCCGGTGTTAGTGGCCTTGGAATTTGCTCTTCATCTACCTGAACATGAAGTGATGCCACATTACAGACGTTTGATCCAGAATTCCTAGCATAGGCTACCCTTCCAAGAAGGGGGAGGGGTTTAAAAAACTATTGTCTATTTTGCTCAGAAGAGCAGCAAGTTACTACTGAAAATGCAAAAAAGAAAAAAAAATGGAATGCAGAAGCCCCAGTGCCCTTTCTTCTCTTTTCAGTGCAGCTTTTCAATCAGATAGTAGGAATAAAACAGTGAATTCTTTAAGACTTCTCAGGCTAGATTAACTGTTTAGCTACTCAATGCAAATGTTGAATGAGTTCACATATGAGTCGACAGTGAGTGGAACTTTCACACAATACTTTGTGGACCAAAAGAGAACTTTATTGGGTTGCCCAAATAATTCATGAAGGAACGAGGAGTATTAGCACCTTTCTTTTACACTTTTTGAAAATTATCCTGTTGACCCACTTGGAACTGGATGCATTTCCTGCTAGAGCTGATATCCACCTAACAAATGGATCCAAAACCAATGATGGGTTGTGATTATATTGTCACTGTGTCAACAATGTGCCAATCTATTTTTGTAACTGTTATTGAAAGTGCACTTTTCCTGGTGGGTGGGTAGACTGTTCAGTTGTGTACAAAATATTGGACAGATTTGGAACCCAGTGGCATCTTTGAATCATTGCAGTGATATTGTTTACTAAAGACCAGGGGACAACTTTTTTCTGTTTGCTTTATGAAAACTACTGGAAGAGAGACACATGGCTACATTGGAATAAGCTCAGATAGTGTTTTGTAATTCCCGATTATTTCATTACCCTAACACCAACTTTTTTTCCAAGTTCATAGTACTTAAAAATAGCTACATGTACAAGAAACAAATAACTGGTGTTATGTTTTCACCTTTGTATGTGATGCCTTTCAGACGTTCAAAACAAAGATGCTATTATATGAAGATCTTGTTTTAGGCCACATGCATATTTCTAATCACTGCACTTTTCCCTCAGTGTAGATGGTTAGATTTGCACTTGGTAGTATTGTTATTTTGTACTCTATGTTAGAGTGCATTCCAAGTTAACATTGATGATGCTCTATGTTTAAGCAGTGTTTTATAAAACAAAGTTGTACTGCTGAGGGCATATTCGGCAGCAGCCTTAGGTCCTCATAGTAGATGTATACCTAACGTAAGCATTTTTTATTGTTGAACAATTGTTGTTTTCATTAGAAATGACTGTATAAAATCAAATTTAAATTAGGGGCCATTAAAATTGCCACTTTTTCATACTGCTCTGGAATCTTAAAAACTTTATAAACCGCATGTTCATAAAATACAACGTGTAAGCTGAAAACAAAAAAGCAGACTTGTCCTAGACAAACTGCTGTAATTTCTATGTATTCTGTTTTCTAAATAAATGTATGTATGCCTAGATTCTCTCTCACACACACACAGATCTGCAAGATGATAGACAGCTGAATGTGCTTCATAACAGGCTACAGAACAAGCATCAGGTAATTAAATTACTATTTTTATATATAGTTTATGCTCATGTCCCACTTTTTCCAGTGCTAATTCACTTGGTACAGACTATGACTGGCACACTAATTAAAATAAAATCAAGTGTTTATTGTTTGTCATGCAATGCAGATTAATTGAACAACTGTTTTATTCACGTTCCTCTTTATCAGTCATTAGTATTAGGATTAAAAGAAATGGAAATGAAAATAGTATACGAACAAAAATCTGTTGTCTTACATTTCAGACACTGAAAAAATGGACCCTAAGGCTTCAGACTTAACAATAGTAGACTTTTAATTTATTTGCTTTGATTAATGGGACATTACTACAGTTCTATGAGATCCACTACTACATAGAGCGTGGTCTGAGCAATGCAGAGTAGAGCAAATCATATTATGTGATTCAGAAATTACACTTCAATTGACAGAACCTACATTTTTCATAGTCATGCCATTGATGATTATAGTATTGCTTATGATTAATTACAATTCTAGCATTTTTTTTACAAATATATTTTACCAAAATGGGTGTCATATACCTTTGCATGTTTTTCTTAAGAATTTTGCATTTGTCTTGGTAAATTTCATTCTCTCATTTTCATTCCTCCAACCTGTTGTTTTGCGTTTTGCTTCTGCCTTCAAGGTTATTACATATCTCTCCTGAAATTGTGCCACACTTATTTGATAAGAGCTGAGGTGGCGCAGTGGTTAGAGTGCAGTACTGCAGCCACTTCAGCTGACTGCTAACTGCAGTTCGGCAGTTCAAATCTCACCGGCTCAGGGNTGTAATGGAGTGAGCTCCCGTTACTTGTCCCAGCTTCTGCCAACCTAGCAGTTCGAAAGCATGTAAAAATGCAAGTAGAAAAATAGGAACCACCTTTTGTGGGAAGGTAACAGCCAACCACATGACCACGGAGACATCTTCGGACAGTGCTGCTCTTCGGCTTTGAAACGGAGATGAGCACCAGCCCCTAGAGTCGGGAACGACTAGCACATATGTGCAAGGGGAAACTTCACCTTTACCTTTAAGTGATTGGCAAATATGTCTGATTTAATTTTCTTCATTGTTCATTTTTCTAAATTTAAATTCATTCTATTCTTGTTCACAGCTTTTGTTTTTTGGTTTTCATGTCTGACAAAAATCCATATCCAAGAAATTTGGCAGATAGTCTTCAGTTGCTTATAGCATTATACAAACACTTTTTACTTTGCATATGTGTGTAAATACATGTACATGTACTATGCATATGCCTATAAATCTGTATCTAAAAACATCCACAAGTGCATATGTGCGCCTCCCCTCCAACTATGTAAACAAGTCCTAACAGAGGAAAACTTTTAGAAAAAATATTTTTCCTTATATACGCATGTAAAAAAATAGATTACCATGTCTACTTAATAGCAGTGTATAATCCTTTGCCTCTTTTCAAAAACCCTTGGCTTAATCTTAGTTGAGATCTCAGGCAGGAGCCTTTTTTTTAAGGTCTGCTGGGCAGAGTAGAAGAGGTAAGAGTGGAAGAAGGGAATTGCAAAAGTTCAGAAAGAGCATTGCAGGAAATATATATTTTAGCGAGCCAGTTTGTTCTAATGGTTAAGAAAACAGGCTGGACACCATGAATTCTAGTCCTGCTTTAGGCATGAAAGTTGGCTGGATGACTATAAGCCAGTCCATCTCTCAGCTCCACCCACCTCACAGAGTTGTTGGGAAAATAGGAGAAGGAAGGAGTATTAGTTAGGTATGTTCACTCCCTTGAGTTATTTATAAAAACAATACAGTCAGGATATAAATAAATAAAATCCATTTCTTGCTTTGTTTTCATTTTTTGTTGACATATGACTCTTATTTTTCATTCAAAAAAGCATTCCCTCCTTCTAACATCCTCTCCCTGCTGTGCTGCCTTATCATCATATTGGTGGTGTTCCTCAGATAGATGAGTGAAGAATGTTGGGAGTGTGGGCGGATTTTCCTAGCAGTGTCACCCAAGATGTGCAGCTGCCTAATGAAATTCATTAGATACCAACATTGGGCAGGATTGATATAGGAAATTGCCAGCGATAGATGATCACTTTAGTTGCAATGGAAAGGGTATCATATCATACTGCACACTTGACGGCAGTGATAAATCACGTCTGTTTTATCAAGAAAATCACATGGATAGAAAAAAATAAAGTCAGTTCTAACACAGATTGAAAAAGAAGCATTCATGGAGTACAGAGGCAAATACTAAGTGTACAGATGTAATTATTTAGACAGAAGGAAATCAGAGAAGTGCTAGTAAAACTAGTAACACAGGAAGAGGTAGATGAGTTCATCGGTTGAATAGATCTCAAAATGGTTACCATTTTTGATTAGCACTAATCAAGTTTAACTGCTGGTTTCAAATTTTGATTACTTGGTTACAAGAAAGAACAGCCATTCTCCATTTAGATGATTAAAAACAGCTATAGGAAATCAACTATGTATAGTTGAGGAACTACCTGGACAAGCCAATTGGTGATATCCAAGTTCCAGTTAACCAGCTGGAATAGTGTCAGTATGTTGCATACACTCTTTTTTTTAATATACTTTTTTGTTTTCCACTTTCATAACATATAANACTTCAGCTGACTGCTAACTGCAGTTCGGCAGTTCAAATCTCACCGGCTCAGGGTTGACTCAGCCTTCCATCCTTCCGAGGTGGGTAAAATGAGGGGCAATATGCTGGCTCTGTAAACCGCTTAAAGAGGGCTGAAAGCCCTATGAAGCGGTATATAAGTCTAACTGCTATTGCTATTGCTATAAATGTTTTTTCCATCTCAATCCCAGTCCTTATGCAAATATTCAAGAATACTAGAACCAAATCTGAATCTTGTGTATACAGTATCCCACACTCTACCTTGTTTCAGTGCAACAAGGAATATTTATAATAATTTAATTAAAGATTATAATTATAGCAGTAAAAATTAATTCAAAATGAAAACAGAGAAGAACTTTTATCACCTTCTCTTAAAATACAACAAATGATTTCTTCTTCTCATAGCCCATCTCCTCTATAAACAAATCCACGAAACATTGTCATTTCAGTTCTGATGCCAGCAAGGGTTTAATAAGGGATAATAAAAATAACAATATATTTAACTTGATCAAATAAACCAACTTTATATTCCTTACTTTTACTTCTAATAATTTTGATCTTTTAGGCCCTTCAAATAATGTCAAAGAACTTCCTTTTAATTTTTTTGCCTCTTCTCACTAAATTCTTCAAAATTTAATTTTGTTGTTGAAAATCCAATATGGGAAAATTATCCAGACCATTCTCTTGGTTTATTTGTATATCCCTTTTAATTATTAATAATCAGCTGGCTTATTTTTGCATACTCAGTGTAGCATTTTTTTTCTTGTGAATCTCAATTGTCAGATAGAACTTCTTCCTTTTCTATAACATCTTTTAGGCACAGTCTATCTGTAAGGGCACTTTCTGTTAAAATTAACATCTGAGTTTATTGTTCAAAAATATTTAATATCCAATGTTAAAATATTTTGCTTTGTTCTGTAAATTGAGTTTAAATGTTCTTCTCCCTTAATTATAATATTTAGTTCCCTCTAGTCTCCAATTTTTAAAAGTTTATCTTAATATGTCTTTTAAATTCAAAATGAAATTATTTTCCCATGGAAAGTCTTCTTTGTAGTTAATTCCAAAATCTTATTTCTCTGGATCTTTATTCCATTTGCACCTTTGTAAATCAAATTTTTAATCATGTTTTTTATATTTATTAATTTCTTTCAAATCTTTTTGAGAGAAATATAACAATAAAACTAGAATAAGTGGCTGCATAAATGTTCATACCCTCTTGTAAGTAAGGTAATAACTGTGTTCAGAATTAACTAATCACATTCAAACTGATATTAAATAATTTTAATAAATAATTTTATTATAATATTTAATAATTATAATATTTAATAGGAGCCGAGGTGGCGCAGTGGTTAGGATGCAGGCCACTTCAGCTGACTGTTATCTGCAGTTCAGCGATTCTAATCTCACCGGCTCAAGGTTTACTCAGCCTTCCATCCTTCCGAGGTGGGTGAAATGAGGACCCGGATTGTTGTTGGGGGCAATATGCTGACTCTGTAAACCGCATAGAGAGGGCTGAAAGCCCTATGAAGCGGTATATAAGTCTAACTGCTATAATTCACACCTGCCATCAATTAAAGTGATTGATCAAGCCCATTTAAAGTTTACTCAGTTGCCTTGTACAGCAAAAGCCATGGACTGCAAAGAGATCTCATTGCTAGAAGATATCAATCAGGAGAAGGGTACACTTTTTTCCAAGGCCTTAAATATAACATGGAACACGATGAAGACAGTTATCAACATGTGGAGAAAATAGCACAACAGTTACATTACCAAGAATCGGATGTCCCTCCAAAATTGATGAAAAAACAAGAAAACTAGTCCAAGAAACAGCCAAGAGGCCTACAGTATTATTAAAGGAACTACAGGAATTTCTAGCAAGTATGGATTTTATACTACATGTGACAACAATCTCCTGTATTCTTCGTATGTCTGGGCAGTGGGGCTAGGGTGGCAGGATGGAAACCTTTTATTAAAAAAGACATCCAATCCCAGCTAGAGTTTTCAAAAACCCACATGCAAAAAGTTCAAGGTTGAACTTTATGACCATAATTCCAAAATTTTTGGCATAAAAACAACACTGCACATCCCCAAAAGTACACCATACCCACAGTGAAACATTGTGGCAGCATTATGCTTTGGGGCTGCTTTCTTCAGCTGGAACTTACCCTTTAGTCAGGGTGGAGGAATTATGAACAGTTCCAAATATTAGTCTATTTTGGCACAAAGCTTTCATGGCTCTGTTAAAATGCTGAAGAGGACTTTCACCTTTCAATAGGACAATGACCCAAAGTCTACCTCCAAATCAACAAATGAATAGGTTCACCAGAAAATGGGGTTTGGAGTGGCCCAGCCAGAGCCTGGATGTGGATCCAATTGAAAATATGAGGGCTGACCTGAAAGTGTCTGCACTGGAGAAACTCTCGCAATCTGACAGATTTTGAGCACCTTTGCAAAGATGCCCAAGACAAATGTGCCATGCTGATAGGCTCCTTCCCCAAAAGAATGAATGGTGTCATAAAATCAAGAGGTGCTACAACAGAGTATTTTTATGCAACCATGTTATTGTAAATTTTTATTGTTATTGTTCCCCCTAAAAGATTTTAGTTTGTTTTTCTATTAAGGTATACAATGTATATATTATATTAAAGGTGGAAAGAACTCTGAAGTGGTTTACCTTGGTCTGATACGTTTCAGAAATCTGGCATTTTAATGGGTGCATAGACTATCTATATCCAGTGTGTATTCTCAGAGATTTCTTAGGGAATAGCAAATCATCAATTCCATAGCTGGGTCTTTCAGAATTATAATTTCAGATATGTGAATAAGAGCAGTATGTTCCTTATAGTTGTTGCAGAACACTTAAGTATCTACATCTCATAATATTATGAGAAAATCCAAAAATCACAATGATCAAAATCCAATTTTTTTTTATTACAAGATACCATCTGTTATTTTTTAGTATGAAAAATAATCCTTGCCAAGAAAAATCTTTTATAATTAATTAAGTCAGTCCTTATCCTGATTAATGATGCAGAAGTCCAAGACAAAGCTATTCCGTCATTGGATTAGGAAACTCCATTCAGCTACCTAAAATACTCACCTCTTTTCATTAAAAGGCACTCAGGATTGCCGAGTTACATTTTGGATGTTTTCTAATGTTCACCTTTAAGAAAAGATACTGATTACGTCAATTGTATCAATATAACAGTTTATTTGAGAAAGCAAAGGAAGTAGAGGAAGTTATGTACAATTTCATAAAGCTGCAAAAGCAATTGTTTTTACGAAGATGGGGTATTTAGAAAATACATTAATTTGGAAAGTCCAAAATATGCAACATTAACAGAAACTCATTGGCAAGAATAAATTATCTTAATAAAACTTCTTTTCTTAATGATTTCCACTACATTCTCAATAAAAAATAAGCATGTTGAATCAGTTTTTGCTTTTGAACTAAATACCGGGTTGTATCTCGTAATAATGAAAATGTCTATAATGATATATTAAGTTACAAATAATTTAGACCATAGCATAATGCAAAGAACATATTCTTTGCCTGCACATATTTCCAGATGTTGCAACAGTAATTTAATTAGAAGCTTTCATTGGTAGAGACCTTATTCTAGATCAGCATGGATTATAGTGGAATGGTACAGAACCTTTAAGACTTTTTAGTATTCTGAGAGAATACAAAATCCAAAGGCAAAATCCAAAAATGGATGGGGATATAAACAGTATGGTTGAGACAACATTGAATTTAATTTAAAGATAGTTAAATTTGGGGTGAATAAAATTGAATAATGTTATTTATTATCCTGTAATAATCTACAAGTAATCCTTGACATGACCACAATTGGGATTATAATCTCAGTTGTAGAGCAAAGCCTACATTGGTCACACCCAAGGCTCTGGAGTACACATGTAGCCCTAGAGTTTTTAGACAGTGCATCCTAGGGCTAAAAGGAGTAACATGGCTTATGTAAAACTGTTTGGTATATGTATATACATAACAATTGAATAAGCCTCAGGTTTGAGGAAGGCAGTGGACTGTTCTTCATCTGAGTAAGTGTGCCTATAGTCTACAGATGTCTGAATGTAGAGCAGTGTTCTTCAACCGTGGCAACCTGAAGTTATGTGGGCTTCAGCTTCTAGAATTCCCCAAAGTGCATGATGGCTAGGGAATTCTGGGAGTTGAAGTCCATTTATCTTCAAGCTACCAAGGCTGAAACACAGTGTAGAGATTTTTTTACATGTTTGATGGGGAGAGACTTGAAACTGCATAGAGGACTCATATGAATTCATCAGAATACATGCAGTGTTTATCATGTCTGTCAAATGTTTGCCTTCTAGGAAGGAACACAGCAATACACTTTTGCTCATTCAGGAGTCAGTTCTAGATCAGATATTACACTAGCTGTGTAGTAAAAGAACTTTTTATTCTGAATGTGAGATTCAGAGACCTGCAAAATCAGGTTCTTCTGAAAACGTTAGTGAGCTGAACATTGTGACTTCTGTTGCTCTTTCTAAATTGCCAGATTCTTGCAACAAGATTGCATAATATTGGCTGAAATATTTCTCTTTTGGAGTGATCTAGAGTGTATTTGTTTTTTGGAGGGTGGGGTTTTTTGTTTTTTTTGCTTTGAATAAATAGAGCAAATGATACAGTCCTTTTGAGGATTTGAAAAGATAGTCCTCGATTTATGACTATTGAGACCAAAATTTCTGCTGCCAAACAGGACAGCTGTTAAGTGAGTTTTGGCCCTTTTTATGACTTTTCTTGCCACATTTGTTAAGTGAATCACTGCAGTTGTTAAATTAGTAACAGGGTTGTTAAGTGAATCTGGCTTCCCCATTGACTGCTTGTCAGAAAATTGTGGAAAGTGATCACATGACTCTATGTCACTGCAACTGTCATAAATATCAGTCAGTTGCCAAACACCTGAAATTTGAGTAGGTGACCATGGGGATGATATAATGTAAGTGTGAAAAACGGTCATAATTCACTTTTTTCAGTGCTGTTGTAACTGAATCTTCACTAAAGGAATTGTTATAAGTTGTATCTAAATGCCCCTTAACAAGCTCCTTACCCAGATGACAATAACTTTTGCTAAGCAAAAATGTTTAGGAATAAGAGAGATACAAATATTTGCTATGGAAAGAGTTCATATGAAGCAATGCTGCAGACCAAATTTTGAAACTATGCAGTATCACTATATTTCCTTGTAGAAACTAATCATAACATACAGGTAAGTGTTATAATCCGTATGTATAAATGTTTAGGTAGTAATAATAATTAAACATTTGAGTGAAAAAATAGACTAATGCTTAAATGTAAGATTCACTTTATTTTTTCATTCAATGGAAGTAGTGTTGCAGATCTGCTGACTATCATCCTAATTTTTACTCTTATTTTCCAAAGAGTCCTCGGCACACATCAGATTCTGGGATGGGGTGAGGTTTTTTAAAAATTTTAATTCTCAAATGGTTTCATTTTATAGAGAAAGTAGAACTGAATGTGATGCTCTTACTTTAGTGGAGATTGAACCAGATCCTTCCTGCTTACCATTCAATTCTATTGAATTTGAATATTCACAGTAATTTTTATCTCTACCATGCCAAAAAGTACAGAATATTGGAGAAGACCTTCCAATGAGTTATTATTTCTTTTCAAGGTATATTGGAAATATATTTGCTTTTACAAAGAGGCTCAAAAATGCCAACCCACAATGTACTTATAACCCTGTATCCACGGGAACAAAATTAACTTAGCCAATATGCTTACATTTTGCCCATGCCAAGGCAAACTGGCGACAGATGGCTGTGTTCATATATTATCGTACATACAAAAGCATAATGTGAGTTGGAGTAATGTCTGAACCCAACTAATGTAACTCATTAACAGTTTAACTGAATTACAGTATGTGAATCAATGATAGAAGGTGTAGGGAAATAAGCACAAATGATGTTATGTACCTGAGTTAACACAACTAGTGTTGTGTGGTCGGACAAAAAGGGGTAAGTCTTCAAGTGCGCTTATCCTATCAGAGTAACTGATGATCACTTATTTATGAGTGGTCATTTATAGTCTGGTTGGATTTTTCTTGCATCTTATGTTTGCCTGACAGCAAATTTGTAAAGGCATGCTGGCTGGGGAATTCTGGGAGTTGAAGTCTGCACATCTTAAAAGTTGCCAAGTGTAAAAAACAGTGAACTGGCTGCATTCACAAAACTTAGCACTATGATATGTGAGGGTTGGATCATATGAGGTCATTATATCTATATCGCTGCCCCCTCTACCCCCAGGAATGTATGGTACTGATGCTTGCCAATGGATCTATTCCTCCCACACAGTTTTGCTGCCAACATCTTACCATCCAGTGTCAGGAGGAGGATAAGGAAGCAAGAAGTATAGTATATTACCTACAATAAGTAATGTGCACTCCAAGCTGATGAGGAACACAACTACTCTATCTGAAAAACATCCAAGATCAGAGTAACCCCTAATGCAGGGCTTCATGTGGGGGTAATAGGTCATCTATTCCATTTTGTGATAAAATAAGCAATTATCATCTGAATAGAGTGCTACAATTAGAAGATTGGCCCTGAGAAAAAAAGTAGAGAATGTTTGGATAATACCAGAGAAGTTCCAGTTTAGTGATGATCCTTCATTTTAGCATAATATCAAAAAAAAGAATCAAATCCCATTTTTATGCATTGCTATTAATAGAAGATATGACTTAAAAACAGGAACAGGTAGAATTCATCCTACACTATCCTATAGCAGATGTCTCGGTGTTATTGCGAATAGGACTTTTTTTTTGAGAAAGTGCAGTCATGGGACTGCGCTTGTAACCTGATGTTTGCTTACACATCTTCAGTAATCACTTGTTCTTAAACAAAAATTGAGGAGTCCCATTGAAGAGTCATCTTCCTCACTTGTCAGTGTTCACGTGCCAGTCCTTTCAATGTAAAGAAGAAAGACTTCAGCAAATCCAGCCAGCAAAAGACTGTTAAGAAAAGATAGTAGAAACTTTGTTAGCAAATATTTGCTAGAACAAACACCAGAAACACACACTCAAGACAGCATAACCCAAAGCCAATAAAATTAATTCTGAAGGTTTTTCAGTTTTCAATAATGGAAGCAAGCATGGATTGCATTTGCTGAAAATATGATTCCACGCAGGTTCCATCTATAAGACTCATCCCCCCAATCCTGTTGGTTATGTCCAAGGAAAGATACCAACAATTGGGAAGGATATAGATTTCCTTCTTCGACTTTCTTCCTCCTAGCCTTCCCTTCCCAATTAAATCCTGGAAGGCAGAACTACTGATTCATTCATGGCATTTTGAAATTTGGATCAATGTTTTCCTCTAGGGAAGCTCTGAGAATAAGAGGGTGCTCATGCAGTTCAATGTCAGACTCTTCAACCATGCAAACAAATTTTGGCCCTCCAAATGCTATTGAATTACGAATCGCAGCAAATCTTGGTATCAGTTATGCAGGCTAGTGAAGCCGGAAGGCATAGATCTGGATGACTAGACTCCCAATTCATTGCCTTAATATTTACTCTTAATTGCACAGACATCTAGGACTATTACTGTGTTTCCCCAAAAATACGACCTACTCAGTCCTAGCTTGATTTTTATACGTGCGCCCAAAATAAGTTCTACCTCCAAAATAAGCCATAATTAAGACCCCACCTCTCCAGGGTGCATGGGTAAAAATTAAGCTAGGGAGGGGAGGGAGGCCTGGAGCTGCCCTACTCCTTACTTTTGGATAGTTGCAGCCAGGCCTCACACACCTCGGCCCATGTTATTGGCTGCAGAGGCCTTCAGGAAAGCCTTGCTGGCTGCAGAAGAAATGCAAGTATCCGAAGCTGAAAAAGTTCCTGAAAGCCTTTGACAGGGAAAAGGAAGCCAGGGGTGATGCACGCAAGTGAGGTGAGTCAGTGGACGATATTCTCCCCTCGAAAATAAGACCTGGTACCTTTTTTGATGGCAAAAAAAATTTAAGAGGGTCTCATTTTGGGGGAAACATGGGTATGTAATACTTAACCCAAAATGTCTCTCATCCGTCTATTTTAAAACTGTCGTACAATCCTCATACTTTAAATGTGAATAGACCTATGATTAATATGTTTTAAGACAGAACATTGTTCTCAGTGGCTTGAGCCAACACACACTACATAAGCAAAACCATAGTGTCCATAGTGTTGTCAACAGGTCACAAATTCCCCTCCTTTGTATTGCTCACAGTATCAGAAATTTCTTGAGGGCAGGCAATTTGATCTCAAGAATGGAATTGTATGAATAAATATGTGTTTTATGTTTTCATATTTGTATGAGATAGCGGTTAAAGTGCTGAAGGAGGATCAGGTGAGCCTGAATTCATATCCATTCACATGAGTATACCAATCATTTTCTCTCAGCCCACTATACCTCACAGAGGTATGAGGAAATGAGGGGAAGGGAAGGTATTTTACATACACCACCTTGAACTTCTGGTGAAAAGCAGGGCATAAATCTAGCAAATGCATAAGATACAATTAAGGACATCTTATCCTTCCCTTCCTTCCAAAATACTAAAGCTGCAGATCCTTTCTTTAGGTTTACAATACCCTTGTGATATGTGAGGAAGGAAAATCAACTAGTAAGCTTTGCTGCCCTGCAGGTAGGATGCAATAACTTGCCAATCTAAGCTTCTCCTGTGTCATCTTTTACTTCTATTTTATTTTTAAAGAGCGTTTATATAAATTATTTATTCCAAATGGGTTTGGAAGGAAACCTCCACAGCAGCTTGGGTGGTCACTTGAATTTCCTATTGTGTTTCTGTAACACTACCTGTCATCCAGGGGTCCCTATCACACCTCCTCCAAAGGTACTTCTCCAATTCTGGCTTCTCATATTCCAGTCATGTATATGGCATTTCCTGCCCTGCATTAATGTGACCAACAGGGTAAGTTGAACAAAGGATACCAGAAGTTCAAGAGGTTCATCTTTTGTTTCTAGAAAAGTCAGCCCATGCATTAATCTTGAGCAAGAGCAACAGATGGCTTCAAGGCTATTCTCCCATTCCTCCTCCTCAAAATCAGCCAAATGCTGCCTCTGCTCTGTGTCTCTTCCAACAGTTCTATGTTTCAGCCTTATATTTTAGTTTCCTGACTTGGTTTACAAAAAGAAAAAACCCAAAGCTGCTTTTGCAGCTATATCAATAAAACAAATCTTTGCACAATGTACAAACAGAAAGACCTATTTTTTATGGCAAAATAGCAAAGCTTCTGGATTTTGAGAGTATTATATTCTCTTAGACTCTTAATTTCATTTATTTTGCAAATCATACAGACGCCTTTATTCCTGAAATATGATTTGTAAGATTGGTATTATGTAAACAATACCATTTTTACACCATAACATACTAAAATCATTATTCATTGTAAGCCAAGGATGGGATTGTTTGGAAAAAACATACTCTTGGAGGTGAGGAGGGGCAATGGTGAGATCAAAGCCCATTAGAAACATCTTGTATAGGCCCACCCACTTGGGAAGAAAGCTTTCAGCTTCCACTGACTGAGGTAGAAAATAATGACCCTTCACAGGTTCATGAACCATCTGAACATAAAGTGATTCCTGCGTAAACCCATCGTCTTAACAGAATAATTTATTTTGACCCTTATTATGTCTAGAAAAGGTTCCACAGAGTAGTCATGATGACTAATCAAAGCTTTTTCTCTATAGATTTAACCAATTTTCTGTTTAAGAAAACAGTTCCTGTCATCTCATTGTGCAGAACTGTATTCCAAAAAGTAATTTTCTGTTGGTGAGGAAGTTTCTTTGCCTTGCCTTTGCTGTCAAACAGTTATGGGTTTATATCAAGAAAATTCTTCCCCCCCCCCCCCAATCTTTGTTTGTTTTGGTGTCTTCAAGTCAGTCTTGACTCCTGGCAAGAGTTTGGAAATGGTTTGTGTTGCCTCTTTCCTAGGGCTGAGAGAGTCACTGGCCGAAGGTCACCTAGCTGGCTTTGTGCCTAAGGCAGGTCTAAAGCTCATGGTCTCTTAGTTTCTAGTCTGGCATTTTAACCATTAAATCAAACTGGTTCTCTTTTTCCATACCAGATATAATTTATGTGCTTTGACTGCTAAAAAGCCCTATTACAATTAATGGGAATTATTCCCATGTAAGCAGGAGTACCCATGTATACCAGTTCATCATTTCAGAGAAGATAAAAACACCACTTAAACCTACAGCCATTCACCAGAGGCCCATTGTGCTTCTTATCCTCTAAAGCAGTGGTTCCCAACCTTTTTTTGGCCATGCCCCACCTAAGCATCTTTAAAATCCTGATGCCCACCTGTGACATATAATTCTTACTTAATTCAAAAAGTGAACTCAACTCATGCGGAGGAAGCCTAAAAGGTCATTAACGTGATTTAAACAAGGTTCAAATTGCCCCTATTAAAAATCAAATTTCCGCCCTGTGGGGAGTAGGCCCCAAGTTGGGAACCACTGTTCTAAAGTGCCAGGATACCTGGGGCAGCAGCAGGAGAAAAGGACAAGAAATAAAGAGAGAAGACTAGGGAGGCGTAGCTTGTCCATCTCTGGCCTACGAGGTCAGGGGGTTTTCTTCATTAAACAGCACAGCTTCCCTATTCTCATTGGCAACCCAATGGAGTCATATTGCTGATACACTTGGTATTTTTCATGAACTTTATTTGAAAGCAGGTCCTGTCATAATGTACAGCATCAGTTCAATACTTCTTTCTCTAGTTTTATAAAATGTTCTTTCTCTGCAGCTTAACTCTGTGGTTTGGCAAAAATGATTCAAGACATAAGAAACTAAGGAAGATGGCTTAGAAATTCAAGGACATTTTAAATAACCACAACTTCTGTGTAAAGTACATACCAGCAGGCAGTTGGTACATTCACTGTAATTTCAAAGAAGAATGGAGACAGACCAGCTGTGATAACCTAGAAAGACAGTAAGACGGAAAGCTGATTGTTGCAATAATCTCATTTTAATGAATCCCAAGAACTTACAAAGACGTAGGTCGGGTGTACTGAGGATGTGGTCAAAAAAGTCAAGATGCCACAATGGTACAATTGAAGATTAAATGTGGCAGATACCCTGCATAAAAATTTGGAGGGTCCCTCAGAAGTTGTCTGACCTTAACATAACCTGAGCCATCTTTTTGAGAAGAGAAAAAATCTGCCAACAGGAATCTTGTACTGAATGGTCCAATGAACTATAGTGTTATTTTTACAGGTAGTCTTCATTTGGAGAAGTATCTGAGTCATTGAGCAAAGTAGTTTTTAAATGAAACTGCAACTATGCTTACAATTTGTCTTCTGTTTTCCTTTGCTTTACAGTCCAGCATAGATTGTAATTATGAGGATTGGTAAACTTATTTTTTCATTAGTGTTATAATTGTGAATGGTCACTAACCTATTATGATTTCGAGGAGTGTACCATTTCAAAAGATGAGCCTTCAGTTTAAGAAATGAATTCTAATAATCCAGCCAACCACAGGAACAAAGTAAGTGCTCTACCAGATAACCAAACAGCAATTTCCCCCTCCCCTGCCCCAAAGCTTGGTGATCTTCGACTGCTATGATCCCCTGCTGTCAACCCTGATGGAAAACTGAACTGCTACACTTCCGCCCTGGCAAAGCTAGCACAGTATTTCTTTTTGCAATGTGAAATGCTGTGCCAGTGGGAATTCTAGTTTCAACCCATCTCCCAGTTCCTGCAGTTGAGGCAATAATTAACCTCCTTTCCTTCCCCCAACTTCAGTTTAGGATTTATCATAGGACCTTCCATTTCAAGGCAAGTAAGAAGAGAAAGCAAGCAGCAGTGACAAGGCCTTTTCTAACCAGCTGTCTGTCTGTCAAAGGAAGTACAGTAATACATGACCATTTCACTGTTGTCCCTGGAAAGTAATTCCTGTTGTAGTCCTCCACTCCTGCTGCTGCAATAACAACAACAAAAACCAGCATTGCTTAAGGCAGTGTTTCTCTCCCACAGCAACTTCATGCTGAGGTGGGGGATTCTGGGAATTGAAGCCAGTCATCTTTAAATAAAGTCAATGAAGGTGAGAAACACTAATTTTCAACCATTGTAAAAAGTGCCAAATTACAAAAGTTGGCAGGATATCTTTTCACCTTCACATGAGGTGCTTTTGAAACTGGCTGAGTTCCCTTCATTTCCTTTTACAAAGTCCAAATGGGCATAATTGGTACTGAAAATGTGTGTGCACGTGTTATACATGTATTTAGTTTCCCTTTTGTGGAAGGATTTTTTAAAACAGTCTCCAGGGCACTGATGGAATGCCATTTTTTAAATTGTCTGCTTGTAAAGCATCTTAATTCCTGTCCCTTAGGAATGTAATTATATTTTTCAGAGTCTCTGGAATTTGGAATACAAGGGTGATGGGAAGAAGACTGTCATGGCTTTGCAGCCACAATGTATTGGAGATAAACAAAAAAGGGGCGGGAGGGCATTTGGAAAGAATCCCTTAAAATAGCCCAAAAGCAGGTCAGAAAACAGAATTAAATGGCCAGAATCTTGAATACTTTACACAGCAACACTGCATTGTTTGAATGTGGTTTATTTCAAGCAGAGGGAGTAAAGATTACCCACGCATTAGCTATTTTAAGATCTCTCTTATTTGAATAGCTTCCATCACTGTTAATCACTACATATAACACTATAAGAATGGGATTTCCCCCCCTACCATCCCATTTTCCCCCCATCATTTCTTTTAAAGTATAGGATTGAAAATAGAGGCAGTTGTGTTTTTAAACATTGATTTGTACACTCAATTTAAATCTAATACACTTTAAAATAACAAATCAACCAAAATTTGAATTCAAATTCACCTTTTAAAAAATAATCAAAATCATAAAATAAATTATAATAGAGTGTATGCATTTTTTATTGACTTTTAATATCTGTTTCCTCATGCCTTTCTTCTCATTTAGATTAATTTATAAGCATGAATTTCTGCAATTTTGTATAAAGAAAAGAAAAAAAATACCAACCAGCCAGAGGTTCAAAGTATAGCAACTAAATGAGTCCTGGACATCATAGGCTTTAGCATTCTGATATGATGTGATTTTTGTATCAATAAACTTTAATACATTTTCTCAATAGTTAACTTTTGACCTAGTCCCCAAAGTTAGATTGCAATCAATCTACATTTACTGAACCACAACCAAGGAGAGTAGCTTCCCTGTTGAAATAATTTTCTCATACTGGCTTACATCCATATTCCCAGCAAAGTTCATGCAAAACTCTTTCTTTCAAATGAAGATAAATATATGTGTCCCAGCATCCAATCTGAGTTGGTCACTGGAACCAAAGGTTTATTCTTCCAAGCTTTTGGGCTTGTGCTCATCATCCAGTGTTCCCTGATGGGCTCCAACATGAGCCCAAAAACTTAGAAGGTTGGATCCTGAAAAACTTTTCTCTATAGCTTTTAAATCAATTACAGAGAATCTAATTTCTATTTTCTCTAGTCTTAATGAAGGGACATAAAAATATCTGTTTGATTTATGAACTTATTTTCAAATGTATTCCAAGTAAGGAAACTTAAATTCAACTTATCCTGCATGTTTATAAGAACATCATCCTTATAAAAAAAAGTTGTAATCTTTTTTTCAAATTTATTGCATATCCTGTCTGTGTATCAACTGCCTTACTCCCCAAGCATATGACAACCAACCTTACAGAAGCTATTTTCCCACAAAAAAAGTTTTTTGACAGGTTTTATAATGTTTTTTGTGAGCAATCATAGCTCCAATTACCTGCCAAATCCAAAATGTTTCAATCAATTTCACTACAGAAAACTCCTCAGGGAAGATTCAGAGGTGCAGGCCAAAAGTAGAAAAAAACTATGTAAAATCAAGTTTTCTATTGGCCATGTAAAACTGACTACAACAGATTGAACTGGACTGAGAGATAAAATTTATATTGAAGTTAAGATTAAATTTAACACTTAAAATTTATTAAACTTAATAAATTGGGAAATTAAAATAAGGCACTTTGCCAAGGTAGAAAGTAGAGGGGAAAAAGAAATTCTGAATTCTCTTCTTTCCAAGTTGCAGATAGCATGAAAGGACTGATTTCATTAAAAAAAAAACCTGTATCAAAGCAAAAATTATGTGTGCATGTTGTATATATGTGCATACCTTGTAAACAGAAAATAGACTTAAAGATATGCTGTGGCAACAAGCCTCTGACAAGCCTCTTGATTGCAAAAACCACATCTGTGCCCTACTTAGGTTTGAATGAGGAAAGAGTCCACATTAAGTCACCAATACTAAGACTCAAAGCTTTTACTAAATAAAACATTGACAAACAAATGGATATTATTCAGCAATATTAAAATTATTTGGGAAGATAGTGGCACTTGGAGCAGCACAAAAACTGTGTCTGCTTAATTTCATTGGAAAAAGAACATTTCTGTTATTTTTATTTATATTTGTATAGTCATCCAAATAACATGAAACTGAGCAGCTTACAGCACTTGATTAAAAAAAACCAATATTTATATTATGCCTCATTTTTTTTCAAATATTGCTGTGCATTATAGATATTTATGATTATTTTCCATTTTTATTTTAAATTCCAGTCTGTTAATGAGATATTAAAAAGCAAAAAAAGTGCTCCTAAGACAGATTTTTTAAAAAAAGAACAAAATGAACAGCTTTGCTGTTTTGTTTGTCCCCACAGCAGAATTAAAAAATTATGTCACTTTTGCAGTATGTCTGCTGTTTCTCAGATGATGTAATGGAAAAGCAAAAAGGAAGAAAAGGAGGGAAAGGGAGCTGTGTTATGCTTCATTTTTCTACAAAAAGGTTAGCAATGCTACTAGCTCTGTGTTGGAAAACTCTGATCCATCCATTTCTTGCCTAGTTGTTCTTAAGGTCCATTTCTTGCCTAGTTGTTCTTAAGGTCTTCCACTGCAAATCAACAGCTGGTCTAAATTTCTGAGTCTGGAGCAGGCTTAAGATCTTGAGCTTCTCCTTCCCAGCACTGGGACCCTTCATATGTAAGTGCCTGTAATGTGGGACTGACTCACATGTTACAAGCCTTGTTGTCATTTAGATATTACAGGCAGGTGTACCAACCAATATGGGTAAATACAGCTGGGATAAATTAATTTCAACTTTTTTAGCAGCCTACCTTTCTGGATCATGTATGCTAAGTCAGCTTGCTCAGCATAGTTGTTTTATGTTTAATTTTATTTTGTATTTCTTCCCTCAGCCAGCTATTTTTCTAACCAATCTGACTACTCCTGGCAGAGTCCTGGCAGTATTATGAATTTGTCCATGGACTCAAAGGAGACCTAACACAGATATGACTGTATTTTCTTAGCTCTGGCCTATTTTTATCCCATTATCTTCCCTGTCCCATAGCTTCTACTCACCCTACCAGGTGGTATTCAGCAGGTTCTAACCAATTCTGGACAACCAGTAGCGGAAATTTTTAGTAGTTCGGAGAACCGATAAATACCACCTCTGACTGGTCCCACCGCCATTTATTGTCTGTCTCCTGAGTCCCAACTAATCGGGAGGAAATGGGGATTTTGCAGTAACCTTCCCCTGGAGGGGAGAGGGAATGGAGATTTTAGAGTATCCTTCCCCTGCTATGGCCACCAAGCCACGCCATGCCCACAGAATCAGTAGTAAATTTTTTTGAATCCCACCACTACAATACCTATTTCTTCCAACTAGAATTGTACCAAGAAACAGGAACAAATTATCAGATAAGATTGGGGACCAAGGACAAACCTGAAAACCAAGCTATCCTGAAAGAAACTATAGGCTAATGACCTGAATAAGAATGTACTTGTTACATAATACTGTCTAATTTCTATATCTTCTAAATCTGAACATTTGTCAACATTCAATCATTGGGTATATGTATTTGCAAATTATTCCCGGACCAATTCTTGTTATTTTTTCCCCTTTACTGTCTCCATGAATCATTGTTGACTATAAATAGCTTAATAGAAAAACTAAATAAAAACCTTGGTTTGCCAAGGTGGGCACAGGAAAATTATAGAGAATAATGTTTAATGGTTAAGATTTTACAGATTCTGCAACTTGCTCATACTGTTTTATTAGGAAGCAGTACCAACATTTGAAGTGGTAAAGAAGACTCATTACAAATAATGTAATAACGTTATGATTATGAGTAACTTGGCAATGCTCTATACTTTTCAGCATTTTATACAATAATCTGACATGTAACCAGAAAAGAAGAAAAGTTCAGTAACTCCCGGTTGCTTGGTGCTGGAAACGACAGGATTGCTATTTCACTGTTAATATTTATTATATTTCGATTCCGTTTGTCTTTTATTGTAGAGTTCATGGCGTAAAACCAAAGTTCCTAATAGGTCTTCCAAACCACCTTAGCTTTAGCAAAATCGTAATGTCTTCAGATCATGTTCTTAATTAGTGTCTACAATGATTGACATGTATGAGAATGGCCAGTGTGAATGAACTGATTAGACTGCTCACAACTCTAATTTATACCAAGGTAAATGAGGCACTATTAAGACTAGCCTGAAATATAGCCAGTGTTGCAGTTACCATATTCTTTCTTAGATTGTTTTTCTATAGGTTTGAACTGCAAAAGCTCATTTTGATAGTTTTAATCTCATGAAATAAATTGTACTTTTTAATGTATCAGCATTAAAAAAGAAATAGAATTATATCAAATACAAGCATTGTCAAGATTTTTTTGAGGACTCTGCATCAATTTGAGTGCTGAATAATTAGTGCTGGATGCCTCAAAGTTATTATCAAGTCATCTCTATGGAAACAAGCAGAAATCCTACATTTATAGCTGCAACAAGTCCCTTGTATCAATACCCTTTATACTCTACATCCTCTTCAGGTATTAAAATTATAGGAAAGTTGAATGTTGGTTTTGGGTATGCCTTGGGACAGCGATGGCTTAACTTTTTGTGTGCTAAAAGTGTGCACAAGTCTGCGCAACTGCTTGCACGTGCCCACACCCATAATATAATGCGCGTTTGACACCTCCTGTGCCCTGTCCTCTGAACATGCACGTGACACCCCCCCAATGCTCCCCCACCCACCTTGCACATTTGTGCATGACCCCCCCGCCCCATTTTGGGCCTAGAAGGCCTCCGTGCAGCCTCCTGGGGCCAAAAATGGGCCACGGGGGGAGGGGTGCACTGCTCCCCCACCCCCACATATGCAAGCATGACACTCCCCCCATAACCCGGCACATGTGCATGCAACCCTTGTGCATGCATGCACATCTGCATGCGCCCCAGCCCCCACGCATGCAAGCAGAGACCCAAAAATCAGCTGGCTGATTGGAGTTGCGTGTGCATACGCAGTGCAGCTAAGCTGGGGCAACTACTTGCATGCCCACAGAAAATGCTCTGAATGCTATCATGGCCTTAGGACCAATATTCATTATTATATTCATAGACCACAGTGACCTTTTCAAAACATAGTTACAGTAAATGGATTCAGCTACTGTTGCCTTTATTTTTTTCCTGTTATAATCATGGGGAATATTTATATTTGCATAAACCATTTGTGGTTGAAGAAAATGTCAGGCAATCCTTGGACAACAGGTATTTTTGTGCCCCCTGTATATTGTGCTGACAATAAGCTTGCCTGAATCATGAATGAACAAAAATCCCTTCGTTCCCCCACCAGAAAAATAAAAGAATCTGCTAGCCTTCTCCTCTACCATCAGTTCTGATGTTACCTCTGTGTGTATTTGATCACATTTGCTTAGGTGTTTAGAGAAAAAAATCTGAGTGGCATCTATATGAAAGTCATGAGACAAGACTAATTACTAAAAAAACACCCCGAGTATTCCTGAATATATCAGTTTTGTGATAACACAGCAGTAAATCTACATGCAGAACACCTTTTATTAAGCATTATGAAAGGTGGCTTGGCAGGAAATCTATGTACATTTTTTTCCTCTTGTGTTATTAATGATGCCCAGCATTCTGAGTGGCAGTAGGAAGATGCTTTACACATTTCAGCATTTTACACAATAATATTACATGTAACCAGAAAGAGAAAAAAAGCCACATGACAAAAAGTTAAGAGTTTACATGGAAATTAAGTACTAAAATTGATTAAAGGGAAGGTGCAGTGAAAAATTCCATCCCTCCCCCCATTAAAAAAACCACTACTCCCATTGGCTGCAGAAGTATGGCTGTGGTTTCCAATGTAATAATACCAGTTATGTTGTAGGTTTAAAAAAAAAACCTATTTTTTGTCTTTGAGAGAAATGCTTAAAAAAGCATATGTTCTGTTGTATGAGATCTGAAAGAATTATTGTATTTTTCGAAGTATAAGATGCACCAAGGTTTTGAAGAGGCAATTTTTTTTAAAAAAATTAGCACTCTGCAAACCTCCCCAAAATAGCCCCTTTTTTGTGAAAACGTGCCCGTTTCCCCCCCCCCCCAAAGGCTTGAATAGCCTTTAGGGAGCTTGCAGAGTCCTTAGGGAGAAAAAAATGGCCCATTTTTTGCAAAAACGGGCTCATTTTTCGTAAAAAAAGGACATGGATAGCCTTTAGGAAGCTTATAGACTGCTCCTGGGGGCTGGGAGGGGGATTAAATTGAGCAAAAACAGGGCCGCTTTTTGCTCATTTCTGCCCTCCCCAGCCCCCAGGAGCTCTCTAAAAGCTTCCTAGAAGCTATGCACGGCTATTTTAGTGAAGGGAGTGGGGCTTTAGGAGACAAAACTGCTGTATTCAGTGTATAAGATGCACCCAGGTTTTCAGCCTCTTTTTGGAGGGAAAAGGTGCGTCTTATACTCCAAAAAATATGGCACCACAATATTTCAAAAATATATAAAGTATATTGGTGAAAGATCTATATATAGTTTGATGAAACCTGTGAAGGAGATGGAATTACATAGTGAGAAAAGACTTCTTTTTATTGTTTTATTACATAATAGAAAACAAATATTAGCCAAATACAATGGTATTTATACAACAGGAACTATAATTTATCATCACTGTAATGACTAAATTAAAGACAATGCTCACTTAAACTTTTGAGTTATAGAATAGTAATCAGCTTACCTTCGCTACGAAATTCCAAGCTAAATATTGTCCTGAGGAGATGCTACTTTTAAGTTTCATAGTATGTAAAGTCAGAAGAAATCCCAAAAGTCCACTGTGGTGGGTAGTAGAAAAATGTATTAGTTGAGTTTTTGTGTTCAAATAAGAATCTTAAAAAACAAGTTAATATTTTTTAGAGATAAGCAACCACCACCCTATGTTTCTATCACTTTTCTATCACATATGGAAAGCTTTAAATCAGCTTTCCCAGCATGATGTCCTCCAGATGTATTGGATATTATTTCCCAAAATTGATCATGGCAGAATGGCCTCTGACACCACATTAGGGAAAGATGCTTTAGATTTCATAAAGAATCCCATCAAGGAAGGCAGGACTAAGAATTTCCTGAAATTCCTTTTCCCATTGCAGGACCATTCTAATTCTGGAACAGATTGTGATAGGAGAAATTAAGCTACAGGGAGAAAGTCCAATCAGTAAAAAATTGTTCTTCCATTTTGCTGGCAGTAGCATCCTAGTGGCAGAACTTTGCTTAAAGATGCTTTGTTTGGTTGGGGGAAACTGTGGTCCAGGATTCTGTAGAGAATACAGTAATCTGCCCATCTTTAAACCATAGTTCAAATCTTATTCAGCTATTCAGTTCACTTGGAGATTTTAGAGAGTCACTATTTTTCAGGAGGCAATTCTTGGAATTTTAAAATCATGTCCATAAACCAGGGGCTTCCAATCCCCGGTCCATGGCCCAGTACCAGTCGGCAGCCCATTGGGAACCAGGCTGCGCAAGCAGCAGGCAAGTGCATGAAGCTGCCTTTGTGCAAGTGGTGCACACGCATGTGAAACCATCCCCTCCCTATCACTGCCACCAATCTGCAGAGCTGGAAAGGTTGGGGACTGCTGCTCTAGTCTAAAACATCTCAATGGAAAAGGGCCAGAATACAAATGTGATGGTATGCTTCTGTAGTCAAAATAAAGGTAGTCCTTGGATTACAATCACTTGTTCAATGTGGAATGGGACAACTCGCCACAGCCAACTCGTTGTGAGACAACTCGTCATGGCCAACTCATCTTGGGACAACTTGCTGCTGGATAATTCAACAATTTAATTTAACTTTTGTCCTTCACATTTGACAACCTTTCTTTGATGATTCTATTTGACTATTTCTTTGATATTAATGTAATTAATGTAACTCTTGTCCAGTAGTGAGTTGGCCTGTGGTGAGTTGCCATGGCAAATTATCATAGCCATAGATCCTGTTTACTGATCATTCAAAATTACAATGGCACTAAATGAGTGAGATGTATGACCTGTCTGCAGAGCTGTTGCTGTCACATTTCTCCAATGGTCATATGATTGCAATTCAGGCACTCGGTACCCAATTCGCAATTGCAACAGTATAGTGAAGCACAGTTATTTCACAACTTTTGATATTCCCCGCCGGCTTCCCCCCAAGGAAAGTCAGTGGGAAAATTGGCAGGGTGTTGGATGTTGCTCCCACTGCTTTTTCATCTGCCTGCATTCCATCAGGCCTGCTTCTGGCACCCCCTGCAACAGAACCTGCCTGCAGTATCCCTCCCCCCCCCCCTCCACCAACAGCATTTGTGCACCCACAGGCCTGCTTGTCTGTTACTCTGGCTTCTTCCTTCTTAATGACTCACACAGTTCCAGAGTTATTCCAGCGCCAGATCTGCAGGATTGCCATCATTAAGTGATGCAGTCACGTAACATTGCACTTTACAACCTACTGCTTAGCAACAGAAATTCTGGTCCCAGTTGCTATCAGGACTAATAAACCTATTTTTAACTCAAAAGGTAGCTAAAGAATGCCTCAAAAATGTCAGACCTGGAGATATCAGCTGAGAAATCTTGAGAATCTTTGAAATATTACTAACATTATTAATAACTTTCAATCTAGTAAGAATACCTTTTAGAAGCATGCTTCAACAAAACTGAATGAAGGGACAAAATTATTTAAAAATTAACATTTAGACTGCATCCTGTTGGCGCCAATATGCTGATTCTGTAAACCGCTTAGAGACAGCTGTAAAGCGGTATATAAATGTAAGTGTTATTGCTATTACTTCTGAATAGACACATGTTGGGATTTTGGTCTAATTCATGTTTTGAGGAGGCAGTTGAGGAGGCAGCTCACTCCCTCGCTCCCTTGCCGCTTCCTTCCTTCCTCCTGTCTTGCCATGGATGGGATGGACTTTGTTTGCAGTGGAAGGCGACAGCTGGAAGGAGAAGGTAGCTGAGGAGGGCACCACCGGCTTGGCAGCGTGCACCAAATTCCGTGCAGGGCTTTCCTCCGCCTCGGCTTCTTCGGGCAACGCTGGGCGGGGCCTTCTTCGGCCGCCAAAGCCTCGACTCCCCGTGCGACTTCGCCTGCCACTTCGGCAGCGGCGGCGACCTCTTCGGGCAACGCCGGGTGGGACTTTCTTCGACTGCCATGGCCTCGGCTGCCCGTGCGACTTCGCCTGACGCTCCGGTGGCGGCGGCGGCCAGCAACAAGAGGAAACGGGACAACAAGGCCAGCACTTTCGGCTTCAACTGCATGCTGCTGCTGGGCCCTGCCGAGGGAACCGAGGGAAGTGGCGGGCCGGCTTTGGGGAACAGGCCTTCAGGGAGGCCTCCAGGCGCGCCGGAGGAACCGGCCTACACCGGCACACTGTGGAGATGAACTATAGCCCCGGCGTGGTGGGTTACATCCTTGTGAAGGAGCTGAAGGAATAGCTGCAGACCCCTGGGACAACAAGCATGGGCACATCGGCAAGGCCTCTGAGTGGCTGCTCCGTGAACGCCAGAAGGCCATGCTGGAGGAGCTGGAGGCCGACTTGGCCCGGGCGCTGACTGACATCGAGCAGAAGATCCAGCAGAAGATCCAGCGCTAAAGCCTGCAGCTACGTAGAGTGCAGGAAGGTAACCAGATCCTGCAGAAAAGACTGGCAGTAATCGACAGGCAGAACTTCCTGGCGGGCATCGCCTCTCTCTTAGAGAGGTTGAAGGGGAAGATCCACGAAACAAGTTTCGCCTATAAGGATTTCCCCACATTGAAATACATGGGGCCTCTGCAATACACCATCTGGAAATCCCTCTTCCAGGTCATCCAGCCAATGCCTGCCACGCTGCCCCTGGACCCGGCCACCGCTTACCAGCACCTCTGTCGGAGTGCTCCCCCCCTTTTCCCTTCCAGGACATTTAAATTTTACCGTTCTTAAATTATTTTAATTGCCTATCTATTTAGGAACGGCATGTTAGCCAGTTTGCTGGGTGTATGAGTGTATGAATGTGAGAGAAAATGTGCCCACTTTTAATTTATTCTATTGTATTTTAGTAATTAGTGTGGGGTGTGTCTGNCCTTTTTGAACTGTGAGCCGCCCTGAGTCCCCCCAGGGAAAGGGCGGCATACAAATAAAGGGAAATGAAAAAAAATGAAATGAAATGAAGGTTGCATTTTGTATTAACAATCATTTTTCCTATCTAGTACAGATTAAATTTCTTTTCCTAATTCCTAATTTTTTTAAAAAAATTGCCTCTGTGCTGTGATCTCCCACTTGATTCTGTTAATTTACTTTTCCATTTTCACAATGCTATATAATTCAGTGTAAAGTTGGGCCAAACATGGATCTTTGGAGAGGACAATGAGATGGGAGGGGAAAGGATTTTCTATTCCACGACTTTCTTTTCCAGGAGAAAGTACAAAGACCATGCTTATGTAAGCCACCAGATACCATATATAAGTAAAGACAGAAAAGTGAGACTCATAGCAGCGGTGCTACGCGTAGGCCAGAAAGTTGAATTATTTATTTGCTAATTTATTAAAAACTTACCAACACATAGTAGATGTATGAGGGCCCAAAAATAGCCATCTATATCAAACTGCAAAATAAAATATCAAAGTGTCCTTGTTTCAAAATGTGACTGTTACAGTAAGGAATATTTTATTAATAAATAAAGCATCTTATGAATCACTTCACCACAGCAATAGTCTTACAGTTTTCATATCCAATAATATAGAAAAAGCAAAACCAGCAACCTCATCTTTGGCCAACTCTACCAATAAGCAAGTCCAATATATTCCTAAAAGTTAATTCTAAAGAAATTTTTAAGCATTAGGAATAAGGCAGAGGAAATACCCTCTGTCACAGAGAACATTTTTAAAAAGAAAATCCAAGACTGATTTTGGCACATTTAAATTGCAGCAAGATGTAAAATGGAGAAGTGCCAAGGAATACTATATTAAATACTATATTAAAATGCATCCAATTTCAGGGTGGGTGGGTTATAAAATACATGCATTATTAGACACAGTGAATCAGAAATGGAAAATTTAAAATACACAATGAAAATGATGTTCTGCATATGTTTGAAGTCATTGAACTTAGTATTGCAATATGTAATACTTCTAAAGGGCCACAAATATATACACTTTTTGTAATATTTGTAATGTAGACTTGCTTTGCCCACTGCCTGAAATTCAGTGGGCTAAAATGCATGCTGACTGGAGAATTCTGGGAGTCAAAGTCCACACATATTAAACTTGCCAAAGTTGAGAAACTCTGTTCTAGGTAAAATACTCCTTAGTTCAAACTACTTGGTGAAGTTCATTCTCTCATTATTTCATGCATCTGTTACAAGAGAGTTTGTGCTTTTCATAGCAATTCAGGATTTCTTTCAAAACAACTAACCTGTGGGTCATTGAAAGGCAGCCCTCCTGCAGCCACCAGAAGAATCAGCCCTCTGCAATTAAAGATGAAAAGGCCACTTAGCACCAGAGATTCCAAAAAATTATATGTTTTTATTTTGAACTGTAGTTAAAAATAATATATACTTTTTATGTTAACATTTACTCTTCCTTCCAACAAGATCAGAAAGTGCAGATGTCATTCCTGCCACAGTTTTTTAAATTCTCATAAAAATCCTTTGAAATAGTATCTGGTCCAAAATCCCCAGAGGACTTAATGGCTGACCAGAGTTTTGAGTGCTAATTTATGCCTCAAAGTTGCTTTTTCAAAAGACAACTGGACTGGTGTTTTTTTTCTCCTGAGGAAGAGAATCTCCACAGACACGATTGCTAATGTACTAATTTAATCAGCTTGGCTTCAATCTTATATTTATCATTGGTTGTTGTTGTTGTTGTTGTTGTTATAACATGGAAGCAAAAGTTGGACTTTGAAGAAACTTGACAGGAAGAGTATTGATGCCTTTGAACACCTTTGAACTTTTAGTGTTGGACAAGACTCCTGAGAATATCGTAGAGACCCAAGGAAACAATTTGACCAAATCAATCCGGAGGCACAAATGACCAGGATGAAATTATCATACCTGGGACACTTTATTCCAAAAGGTTCTAATGCTGGGAAAGGTGGAAGACAACCAGCAAGATGGAGGGGCTCAATTACAGTGGTGATAAGTGCACAAAAACCCTCTGGTTTTTTCCATTTAACATAACACAACCCTAATTTTAAATTGCTTGATAGATTGCGCTGTTTTAAAATGAAATGACTTTTTACTGCTCCTCTGACTACCATATTTCTTGTATTTTATTTTAATGTCACTTCTAATATTTGTTTTAGAATGATTTTATTATGTACTTTAAGTTTTGTTGTCTGGAGAAAAATTATATTTGAAAGACAGCTGAAAAATTATATTTGAAAAGACAGAAGTAAAGATTTAATATTATTTATTTATTCCCTAGTACTATTTTGGTCTTTAAACAGAGGGCAGTAAGAAAGAATGCTCTGGACTGAAATTTACCGTATTTTTCAGAGTATAAGATGCACCTTTTTCCCTCAAAAAAGAGGCTGAAAATTTGGGTGTGTCTTATACACTGAATACAGCATTTTAGCCTCCCGAAACCCCGCCACCTTCACCAAAATGGCCCTGCGGAGCAAGGAAGCTTTTAGAGAGCTCCTGGGGGCTGGGGAGGGCAGAAACGGCCCGTTTTTTGCTCAATTTTACCCCCCCAGCCCCTAGGAGTCCCCTATAAGCTTCTTAAAGGCTATCCATGCTTTTTTTTTTTACAAAAAACGGGCCCATTTTTGTGAGAAATGGGTCATTTTTTTGCTCATTCCCCCCCCCCCCAAGCACTCTGCAAGCCTTCTAAAGGCTATCCATGTCATTTTTCGGGGGGAAACGGGCCTGTTTTCGTGAAAAACGGGCCATTTTTGGGAGGTTTGCAGAGTGCAAAAACTTTTTTTTTTATTTGCCTCTTCAAAACCTTGGTGCGTCTTATATTCCGGTGTGTCTTATAGTCCGAAAAATACGGTAAATGCTATCTTGACAAAGAAATCTTCTTTCTCACCCATACTCCCTGTTTGCCCCATCTCCTTATCCTCCTCCAATTTCTTTTTGAATGAGTTAAGACATATGTCAACATATCCCAGTACAATGATGGCATGGGGGTGGGGGGAACTGCTCTAGTGTCTAGTTGTTCTGGTGTGTAATGCCCTTTAGCATTATCTTGAGGGAAGAAGTTAAAACAGTTTATGTCCAGGATGTGTGGGGTCTGTAGATATTTTCACAGCCCTCTTTCTGCCTCATGCAGTATACTGGTCCTCAGTGGAAGACAGGCTAGTAGCAATTGTTTTTTCTGCAGTTTTAACTATCCATTGAAGTCTGCGTCTGTCTTGTTTGGTTGCAGTGCCAAACAAGCAGTTATAGAGGTGCAAATGACAGACTCAAGTTATTGGATAGGTGAGAAGCAGCAGGTGAGAGGCGCGAGTGAGTTTCAGCACTTTTTATTTCAAGAGTAAGTGACTGTGCTCTGCAGGAGCTCCGGCAGACCAGCCAGCCAATGATAATTGTTTAAACTTCCCGGTGTTTGGGCAACCAATCTGCGGTGAGCATGTAAAGACATGTACATTTAACAATGTACGTCTGTATGTAACACAAATCATTCCTTTATATAGCTGAATCAGCAGTTCCTTGATCAGTCTGACCTTTTTATGTTGGCACAGGGAGAACATTCTTAATTCTGCCTTTTCGATGATATTTTTGATGCTAGGTGTCCATTTTAAGTCTTGAGATACTACAGAACCTAAAAACTTGAAGGTTTCTACAACTGATTATGTGTTGTCTAGTATTGTAAGAGGTGGTAGTAGAGGAGGGTTTTTCTAAAATCTACCATCAATTCTATTGTTTTGAGTGTGTTTAGTTCAAGATTGTTCTGGTCGCACCATAAGGCTAGTTGTTCAGCTTCCCGTCTGTATGAAGATTTGCCCTTGTCTCGGATGAGACCAATCATTGTTGTATCATCTGCAAACTTCAGTACTTTAACAGAGGGATCTCTTGAGATGCAGTCACTGTATATATAGAGAAAATAAGTGGAGAGACAGCACACAGCCCTAGGGGGGAGGGGGGCTGTGCTAATTGTATAGGTATCTGATGTGATTTTGCCTAGATTCACTTGTTGCTTCCTGTCTGTTAGAAAGTTATGATCCACTTACAAGTGTGGTCAGGCATAGCTAGTTGAATCAGTTTAGTTAGAAGAATATCTAGAACAGTGGTTCCCAACCTTTTTTTGGCCATGCCCTACCTAAGCATCTTTAAAAATCCTGATGCCTTGTGACATATAATTCTTACTTTACTCAAAAAATGAACTCTACTCAAGCCTAAAAAGGTCATTAACTTGGTTTAAGCAAGATTCAAATTACCCCTATTAAAAATCAAATTGTCCCCCTGTGGGGCCTGGGCGCCACACTGGGAATCACTGATCTAGAATGATGGTATTGAATGCCAAGCTGAAGTCTACAAAAAGGATCATTGCGTAGGTCCTTGGAGATTCAAGATGTTGTAGGATGTAGTGCAAAGTCATATTAACAGCATTAGAGAATTAAAGACTAGAAAATCTATTACTAAACCACCCTATCAAATTTTGAAAGATGCAAATGCAAATTGAAGCCCAATTATAATCCTGAAAAAAGACTGGTCTGAAATAATATTTTAAACAATCGTATTTTTAATTATAAACACTATGTACATTAGTAATAGATTTTAACAGGATTGATGTTTAACTAAGTAAAATGCCACATATATTGCAACCAACATAAGGTAGATCTCAATTAGTGCAGTTAATGAATTTCACAAAAATGGTTCCATCATTCGAATTTGCACTATTTGAAGTGATATTTCTATCACTTTATTATGCTAATTGTGGAATTCTGGGAGTTGAAGTCCACATGTTTTAAAATTGCCAAGTTTGAAAAATACTGTTCTAATGCACTGTTTTTCATTGAATCGTCCTTTTCTCCATTTTGCACATATGAAGATGAGCAACATCTAAACCCCAACTTCAATTGCACAGGTGTTTGTCTCAAATGCGCTCACATTAACCTTGCATTAACTGAATTTTGAGTTGCATTAAACATGATCTGGTATCAATTCACAAGTTGCACTAAACTGAGTATTGCANAATATTTTTTGTAAGCCGCCCGGAGTCCTTCGGGATTGGGCGGCATATAAATATATTTAATAAATAATAATAATAAATAATAATAAATGAACTTTTTCTGTGTTGGTGCCTTTCATGAACACTGCACTATAACTTGTATAATCCCCAGCAAAATTTTATGCAGCCTTTTGCTGCAAATAATCCTATAGTTTATTCACATTATAATGTTTGGCATATTAAATTTCAGATTAATATGATGCATCACTGTGGACCAATAATTGAATGCTTTGACCATACTTGAGCCTAGAAAAAAAGAAGCACCTTTAACAGCTCATCAAAAATATAATACTTTGTTTCCCATCCATATCATAAGGTCTGGCTTGTAGCCTGAAAAGTTACCTGGCAAGGCAACTGCTGTGAAAGATGTAAAAGTTCAGAAGTGGAAATTCCAAGGCACTGAAGAGATCACCTAAGAAATAAAATCATATTTTAATTTTTTTTTTTAAACTGGCACCAGTCTTTGGTTGCTCTGTTGAAAAATGGGCAGAAGAGAGGAACACAACATTATAAAACTGGAATTGAACGGCTTGTTCTTGGTTTTAACATGATTTTTATCACTTCAATAATTTGCCACTGCTCTTACAACATTTCATTCTCTTTCTCATCAGTCTGAAATCAGCTTGTAAAAAAGGAAGAATGCCATTTAAGGAGTATGTTTCTACTTTAAAAATGTTTGTATTTTCCATGGAGATTCATGAGCAAGACTTCCATTTATAATTATAGTTGTTCAGGGAGTAATTTGTTTTCCACTGACTATATTCATTCATTTTTGCTCCATATGATGCCATAGGAAATATTTGCAAGCAATGACTATTTCCTTCTATCACTTTGAATTGTTGTAAAGAGAAGAAGAAACTGCAAAGACAGGGAGGAAGAAGATATGAATTGGATTGCCATTTTAGGGTGTCATAAAGAAGGGACTTCTTAAGGTACATCTGAGAATACATTGCACAGAAGAGGTATTCTTCAATAGCCTTATATGTTAAATGTATTGTCTCCTAAAACTCAGAGATTTTTGTGCTCTTTGAAGAACGAAATATCACTGACATGAGACCACACTTGAGCCCAAAATTACCATTGCAAAACAAGACGGTTGTTAAGTGAGTTTTGTCTCTATATGACTTTTCTTGCCACAATTATCAAGTGAATCACTGAAAGTTAAGTTAGTAACTCAGTAGTTCAGTGAAGCTAGCTTCCCCGTTGACCTTGCTTCTTCTGAGGTTGCAAAAGGGATTACATGTCCGCGAGACAATGCAACCATCATAAATATATTTCAAGTGTAAACATTTGACCATGGGGATGGTGCAATGGTTGTGTGAAAAACAGTCATACATCACTTTTTTCAGTGCCACTATAATTTCAAACAGTCACTGAACAAATGGTTGTAAGTTGAGTACTACTTGTAATCAGATCCCCCAAGATTTACAAATTTCCACTATCTTCCCCTAAATAGCAGACAAGAAAAGGTATTAGTCAGAGGGGAAAATTAGGAGTAAGTGTAAGAGTTTATAGAAAAGGCTGAAAGACAATAGTCAATTTATTTTGCACCTGCCCATGTTCTTCATCTGGGAGAGTCGGGGTAAATAAAGCCTTGCCCACTTTTTAAAAAAAATTGCTGAAACAAGATTTCCAACTCTGTGTATCTCTTAAAATGGCCTGTCCTAATATTTGAGGGAATCTGGGACATGCAGATGGAAAGGCCATGTCACAATAGCTAGCTTGTTTTGGATAACAGAATAACAGAGTTGGAAGGAACCTAGGAGGTCTTCTAGTTGTTGGCTAAGAGCCATATCAATTGTAAACTAAAGACTTGTCTTTTCCCCCCATTTAATCATGTTCAAATTCTCTGAAACTGCCGGGAGAAGACCATGAAGTTTCCCTTTTTAGAAGTGATTTGCCATTGCCTGCTTCCTAAGGCTAAGAGAAAGTAGCTAGTCCAAGGTTATCCAGCAGGCTGAGGTGACAGGTGCAAGGTTACCCTCCTGCCTAAGGAGGAACTAGAACTCATAGCTTCCCAGTTTGCACAAAATTTGAATGCTGTATATCCTATGAATGGTTTATTTCACAATCTTTGGAGATCAAAATTTTAAAAAAACTAAATTCTGTTTTATAGTAGATTAGAAATAAAAGCACCTTACTGGCAAATCTGAACTCTCTCCTTTGTAGACCATCAACAGAGAGAAAGCTATGCTTTTGGCTTGAAACGTTCACAAACATTTTTTCCCCAAAAGCTCTTGATGATGAAGTAGTGCTCAGCATAAAGGAAAAGACTTGAAACTGCTGTTCTGCAAGCAAACAGGAGCCATGCTAGAGAGCAACAAGAACTGACACCATTGTCTGTAGCACCCTGACTCTCCTTCACATGAAGTTGTGCTGCAGTCCTTGGCCTCAGCATCAAATTGATGTTGCCCTCTAATGTGCACATGTTCACAATATCTGCACAACATCTGCTATGCACGTGCAGCTCCCAAGTTATGCCATATCAGAACATCTCTGGATTTGGCTTCAGGCTATTTTTGGATTAGCTAATACTTTAAAAAGGAATAGAGTCCTGAGTGTGTAAAAATGATTAATATGTGGGGTTGAACACACACTCAAACTAAATTCCTAAGTAGCATGCTTAAAGAAATAATAATATATCTGAAAAATGCACACACACATATACCAGTTATAATTATTGATATTTTTACCTGTTGGGTGGGATGCAAAAGCCAACATCACCACACTAGAAATAAAAGATGTAACTATTAATTTTAATATACCAGTTGATAACCCATTATTTATTACAATACACATCTTAATCTAAGACTCTTCCAGATACCTTTCTCAATTCATCTAAAAATATTCTCAAGATGGATATAGACGCTTTTGACTATTTTCTGATTCATCTCGGTACGAGAATTCTATAAATACAGCATGGTTCTATATTTGTGAGTCTAAGATTGCAGATACCCACAGAAAGACATTTGTTACAAATATAAGCAGCATTCCTGAATGCTGACAGCAAAATATCATTTTTCTAGGTCCATGTAATTCTTGATATAGATTCCATGGAATGAAGCATAATTGCTCTGGGGCATCACATTATATCACATTCAATTCAAAATCCACTACTTTTTTATAATCAGCTGATAATGTATATGAAAATTGCTTCTGTGTTTCCATCAAAATCTAATTAAGTAAAATATAGCACTAAATAAGATGAATGAGCAATAAGAATATAGTAGGTATTAACTTAATGTTCAACTTAATGTTCATACAGTTATGAAGAGATGGTAAACATTCCATATTTTTCTTAATCAAGATATAACGTACCTGAATGCATAGTTTATGTATTGTTGTTCAGAGATACTAAGGAGGGGGGGGGGGAAGAGTCAGTTACTTTAATGTCAGAACTCTGTCAAAATAATATTAATAATTCCTTAAATAATTAGATGCACAAATATACACATGTGGTACTAACTTTTATTTGCTGTCACTTATGAGATTTCTTGAATCTGATTTCGGCGGGCTGTTCACTCTAACAGATATATGTTATCTTGGCTATATATTATGTGACATCTAGAGTTGTCTTGAAGATGAAAATGTTTCACCAAAATAGTTAAATGCTCATGGTGAGCAGTTAACAAGAATTGGCAGAAGTTTAATCAAGCTGATCTTTACATCATTTCTATGATAAGGTGATAGAAATTACTAGAGTAGTGTTTCTGGTTCCAGAAAACTACAGATCAGGCTTTCCCACACATTTTTCACACTCTGATCTAAAACAAGTATTTTTTCCCATCATACTAAAAAGTGAGATGTTTAATTTGTCTACAGAATTAGAAAAAGATTGACATTGTTTTCAGAGGTTGTCTTCACTAATATAGCTATCTGTAAATAATGTATCTATACATATTTTCAAGGAGTAAACCAATTATTTATCAAGCCTGTCTTATCTCTGTACTCTTTGTTGCCACTGACTTTGGTTTGAGAGATGTACAACTGATCTGGATGAGCAGAATGCATCTGTTGAAAGTGTCCTCCTATTATGAGGTGTAAGAACTTGATGGAGGGTCCTTTCTGCGGACACCTCACTTTTGGAATAAGATGTCTCCAGAAGCAAAAGTGACTCCCATGCTCATTATCTGAAAGCAAATATAAATTTTGTATTTTTGGAATATCTTTGGTGGGCATTGGTTGTATGGAGTTAATGAAATCAGAGTGGTTGTTACTGTTTTCCATCAAATTATGTATCAATTATTATGTTGTAGACCTGTACTCTGCCTGGAGTCCCTAAGAACTGAGGTAATCAATAAATTTTATACATAAATAAATCTACTCATACATTTTTTGTTCTAAAGTTTATTTAATAACCATAATGAATGGTAAGGATCTACTGAGCAATATTTCCATTCATTACATCTGTTTCTAATAATATACCTTTCAAACCAGGTTTTTCTAGGTACATTGGGACCAAAAGTAACTTCCAGAATTTTCAACTACTACTGGATAGGTAAGGTAAGGTAAAGGAGTCCCTGTGGATTTTACTCCACTAGTTGTTGCCAACTATCAGTGGCGGTGTTCATCTCCATTTCAAGGCCATTGAAACAACGCTGTCCAAAGACATTACCGTCCCACCAAAGTAGTACCTATTTATCTACTGGATAGACTGACTAAGAAATTTTAGTTCTAATACATCTTAAGGGTATCAAACTCTGGAAAGTTAGCCTATACTTGCAGAAGGTAACCGTCAATTTCTTCTTTGTCTCCTTATTAATCCTTATTAGTCTTTTATATTAATAATATAATTATAAAGAGCTAAAGATATAATATTTTTCCTTCTCCAGACCAGCTAGAATTACTTTTTAAGTATTCCATATTCAGAAAAAATAAAATCACCTTAGAGAATTTGGTTTCCACAACTTGTGAAATACTTTGTAAGCCCCTATGAAAGAAAAAAACACAAAATGCTAATATGTTCAATGTTTGTTCAATGTTTATTACACTTGTATGCCGCCCTATTCCCGAGGGACTCAGGGCGGGTAACAAACAAGGCGGGAGGGGGAGAATACAACAACAAACAGAGACAAAAACAAATACAAAAAAAACAGATTAAAACAACGCAACAGTCACAACAATTCAAGTGGGGCTGGGAACTCATCAGCCCCAGGCCTGCTGGAACAGCCAGGTCTTGATAGCTTTGCGGAAAGCCTGAAGGGTGGTGAGGGTCCGAATCTCCACGGGGAGTTCGTTCCAGAGGGCTGGAGCAGCCACAGAGAAGGCCCTCCCTCCCTTCCCCCTTCTCAGAATATTTTCCATATCTTCCTTCCTTCTCCCATCTCTTTTTGTTCTCCTTCCTCCCTCCCTCCTCCCCTCCCTCCCTCCTC